CAGCATTTACTTTATAACTTTTTTTAAATATTTAAGTCTATACAATGACAAATGGATGTACAAACCTGATAATATGGTCAACAAATAGTAAAGCTTTCCATGTATGAGTGTACCTGCTGGCAGTTGTAAATGCGGTATTAGTTGCTGTATTACCTCTCTGTCTACCAACTCTAGACATATACTCCTGATAGGACACACACTCATCCTGATACAAACCTACAATTATATCATTCATTATTATATTACTTATAAAGATTTATGACAGGTTATAAGGTCCTGCATTAATGGTTATATTGCAAACAACCATTTATATACCGCCGTATAACTTGTCAGAGACTTTTATAACGAATCTATAATACAGCAAGCATCTTTTTTTCATAAATTGACAAGAGCCGTGTATATAGAACTATATAAATGTCATGATTATCCAATGAAAACGTGCAGTATAATAATATAATTTATATACTAGTAAATCTATGACAGTTTATAAGGCAATGTATTAATGGTTTTTTGTAGGTTGTTTGTATATAAAACATGAGCTGTTGGACAAGGATTAAATTGCAAATAACGGTTTATATACTGCCATATTACATGTCAAGAATCTTTATAACAAATCTATAATACAGGTAGTGCAAACTTCTCTTTTTTTTTTTTATTAAGAAAAAAAATTAAAAAACTTCATAAATCAACTGCAACCATATATAAATGTCATTGTTATCCAATTAAAAACAAATCAGTTACAAACATGCAGTATTATAAATTTATTAATACTATCAAATTAATTTATCAATAATATCAAATATGGAACAGAGCTGACTTTCAGATTATTCTCACTTTTCCTTTTTTCCAATTTATTAAAAACTGACAAATATGTATCTTGCCAAGCTTTAGTGACAACCATGTATTCACTGTAAGGTCTCCTGTTTTCATAGATTATAAAGACTGATACAAAAACCAATACTTCTTCAGATCTTTTGCAATTTGAGAAAATAAAATTAAACATAAATCAAACTTAATTTATTTAAAGTAAACAATGAAATATTCCTAACATGAAATCAAAATAGCTTTATTTAAACAAAAACTTTATTACTACATTTTATAGTATCAACATACCAGTTTTACAGGCATCACTCAGGAATCCAGTAAACCAGAGTAACCATTGAGCAGACTTCATCCATGATGAGGTATAGTTTATATAGAAACCATTCTCTGTCATTAATTTCTCTAATAATCCCTTTAAATAAATTTCATTAATATAGATGTAAAAGCAAGGATTAATTACTACAGTCCATTAAATATTGTACATGTTAATCTTCGTTTGATACCAAATTGAATCTTCTTTTATTACCAAAAGTTGAATAAAAGAATAAAATAGTGTAAACATTTTTATTATAACTTGATTGTAACCATATCTCGATTGTTAGTTAAACCACTCTCAAATCCACTTCCTGGAACTAAGAAGTACCAGTGTTGTACAAGATAACATGGTTATAGTGGCATAAAGGCTCACACTCATGATTCCTAAGCTAATTATATAATTATGCAAGTAACAACAAGAATAAAGGGTTTATGTTTCTCTATAAAAATATGATAATAAATAAATACAGTACCTTGAAATATTGTTTATAAACACCATGAAAGGTAAAGGGTTTAATTTGTCAAACAAAACCATACATAGTGTATATTCAACAGCATACCTTAAGATATTGTTGATGATGGTGAGTAGAATTACTTTTCATTCCGTATGTACTTCCTTCCATCAGATAGAAACAATTTGTCAATCCACTACCCTGTAATAATGAAAATGAAACACACATTTAAACTAAGTACTGCCACTACCCTGCAATAATTTACATGAAACACACATTTAAACTAAGTACTGCCACTACCACTGTAATAATTAACATGAAACACACATTTAAACTAAGTACTGCCACTTCCCTGTAATAATTTACATGAAACACACATTTAAACTAAGTACTGCCACAACCCTGTAATAATTTACATGAAACACATTTAAACTAAGTACTGCCACTACCCTGCAATAATTTACATGAAACACACATTAAAACTAAGTACTGCCACTACTGGTTGGCGACCATCAACCGGACACTTTTTAAACATTTTTCCATATATTTTTCACATTTTTAAAGCTAGATACCTGAAATTTTAACACAATACAGCTAGGTTCTTCGCTAAACTGAAGAGCTGGTTTGTTTACTTCCGATTACGTAGACATTCGTGTATGAGGCCCGTGCGGGGGTGTACCAAAGTGTCAAAATTATCCAGACTACAGTACCATGTGTCCGGACAGGCAGTATATAGCTATAATTTAGCCAAAGTAATGGCTTGTATGGTTTAAAAACAATACTGTTCACATAAGCAATATTCCAGCGGCAATTGCCGAAAATTTGAGAATTTTATTATTAAATTTGAAATCGTTATAAGCTAGTTTAGGAGGTCAGGTATTGAGCTCTTGACGTAAATATTTTGACGTCAACCTTGTCTTAAGTGATGTAAACTTAGTAATTTTCTAAAGAACGAAAAAAATCAATTTTATTATTTAAGGATCTAAAAAGAGTGACACTGTATAATAGTCTATTTAGATTAAAGAAGAAACGAGACTTTTATCGTGCTTAAAAGAGTCTTATGAATGTTTAACTAGGCCTACTGTATAAGAAGGTGAACGCTTTCTTCTGCCAGATTGAGTGTTTCAATGAGACAGTTAAATTTACTCATGCTCGTTTGTGGTAACATTCTACAATTCGTATGACAATGAACTCACCATAACGGCAACAGCTATACTAGCTTGCATTATCCAGCTTTTCTGTTTTTGAAATAGATTACACTGTGTCCTATCAAACAGATGTAAGATATATATAATTTTCTATATACAACTGTATACATTGTATACAGTGTTATACGCGCAGATAAATAAAATTAACAAACTAATCTTGACATATAACTATTCTCACATTTATTTCATCATTTTGATTATGTAAAGTCAAAACAAACATCTATAAAACACAAATTTATGAAATAACTAAAAAACATCAAGAAATAAATTCAGACATAATCTTAACATTACAATTTCTCGTACTCTTACTCTTCCTCATACAACCACGGTTTACATACGGCACAATACCAAGGCATTCCGTCACTTTCACTCTCCTTCAGATACTCATTCTCACTCTGACCCAAGCACTCCTCATGATACCAACGCCCACACATACCATCATCGCACCCATACCACATAACTCCATTCACTTCGTCATTCACACGCCCTCTCTCCCCACACACAGCACAGGTAAAACGTTTATGTGCTAAGCGACCACCGACAGCCTTCTTCATTCGCTCCTCCTTAAGTTCTTGTTCCTTCTTTTTCTTTTCTGCCTCCCGTCGTTTCTTCTTCTCAACTTTCTCTTCTCCTTCTTTTTCTTTCTGCTGTTTTCTTTGTTCTTTTAACCTCAACCTCTCCTCCTTTTCCTCCATCTGGCGTCGCATGACCTCCTCCTTCTCCTGAAAACAAGAACAGAATAACTGTTGAAATAGAGATGAAGAAACAAAATTATTAGCAATTCAAAAATAATTTTGTTTTCAGTTTGATTTTTATTAAACAGAGTAAAGGTATATAATGGACAACAAAATGTTTAAGTAGCGTCAAAAAAGAACGTGTGTGGTTTCATAATATACTTAAGTTGGATGTACAGAAGCAGATATATTTCTAGTGAATTTACTTCTAATTTTTTCAGCATTTCATCGCCACTTATAACCCGGCCCTCGGTCACAATTCGTGAAGATTTTAATTTTCCCGTTGTTTTTCGTGGCGGTGGCACCAACACCTGCGCCATTGACTGCGGTATGACCCCCTGGTCAACTAGAGGATTTGTCAAGAATGACCCACAAGCCTCACATGTTTTAACATTGCTGTTTTCCTTTTCACCAGCTGAAATTAATATATATCGTAATTTTGATATATTTTTTCCTCTTAAAAATATGTTCTTTACAAAAGAGACAATGTATTGACTTTGCCGCGGAACTGAACAATCATTTAAATGTTTGTTTAAAAGCTGTTACCTTGATAAAAACTTAATGGTAAGTGTGGCAAGAAAACGGACAACGAACGAATTACTTCAAAAGTGAACTAATGGAACTTTTTAAATAAATGTTTGAAATCTTAAACAAATTAAATAACATGCATTACGCGTTTTACTGTTGAAATAAGTAAACGATAAACAGTAAATACATACTCTGTTCATTTGTTTTAGTAAAAGTTGCTGGAACTAATTGTGATTTATCTATGGCTTGTGGGTTATATGGCACTATGCCGGTAGCCACAAACGCCTGTCTAACAGAGGAGGGTGTCGTCTGTTCTATTGCGTGACGCAGAACTACAGGAAATCTCGATCTTCCTATTGACAGGCTTGGGTTGGCGAAGCCCAGATGCGTCGCCAGATTACTGAATCTGGTCTTCAGTGGTCCATTTACCTTCAAAATATCAGATCATTCCTTATAGATATACGTAAAGTGTAACTCAAAGGCTTAAAATAATAAAACGAAACTAATTTTGTATATATTATATAAATATGTTTAAGAATATGTACATACTTGCTCTAAACCTTCCCAATATATAAGGTAACAAGTACATAAAATATTATAATACAATTTAATGATATTATCATGTATCTTTTCTAATGCAAGTCTCGACAAAAAAAATCGTTTATGTAATTGCATGTGCATGTACTTACTTTTACATCCAATGGTTGAAGAATGTACGTTGTGTGGGCAGGCAACCCGAGCAGTACCACATCATTTAAACGGGCAGTCTCCACCAATGGCAATGTAACATGGCTATCGTGGTTGTCCATGACTAACAGGACGGGTCTCTCCCTGCCGCAGTTAATCAGAAATATTTCTTTAAACCACGTCAGAAACAGGTCACCGTCCATGTAGCCGTTCTCGCTCTTGCCGTACAGCCAACTTCCAGGTATACCGTCATGCATGGACCGGTGTGGTAACGATTCCTGTAATACTGAAATCCGGTATACATGCATAAACTATTATCTAGAAGAAAGCGGCATGATTGTACTGTGTTGTAATGAAAATATATTCTTTATTACGAGCTCTGTATAGATTTGCAGCGTATACTACTCGATGGCTTAATACTCGATAGCTTAAAAAGACTCACTTAAAAATACTCATTTGTACAATGTTAAGGAGACGACGTGTTTAGAACAAATTATAGCATAATTAATGTATATAACGTGACAATATTCATGTAAATTATATAATGTATGTTTTACTTTATATATTATCATTGGCGGTAGTATTCTGCCATCTGCGCAAATACACATGTTGACCGTCACATGTTCACATGATGTGATATTGTTGGCCGCAAAGCAGTGGGCCCCTTTCTGTCCAAACACTTTCACCTTCTTTCTCTCCTTCCCCGACCAACCCACTTCGTCTACATTGAAAATCTGTAATTAAAAAAGCTTTTACTTCATAAGAGATGAAGTAGAAAATATTTGATATTTTTTCCAAAGAAAATTCAATATATTTCATAGATTAAAATTTTATCAAGAGTAAAACTTGGTATAAAGGTACCTGTCCTTCCTTGTTCTCGAGCTTCTTGTCCCTCAAAACTTTCTTAAGGAGCTCAAACCAGCCGTCCATTGTATTCTGACTAGACATTCTCGCTCTAGACTTGTCCAGGTTTTCCGGGGTTCTCTCCGACAGTTGTGGGTGTCTGGCGAGGAAACCCCGGAACCACTTATCAGACGGTCCAGTTTCCATGCAAATGAGGGACACACGTCCTGTAAAAAACAAGATTATTATTAGAATCGCAATATCTCGGTCATGTATGAGCAAATGAAAAGACGCAGAAATGTTAGGTTTAACAAAGTTTTGCATTTACAAATCTATATACTAGTAGTTGCTACATTTGCTAAATCTTCCATGGAATTAGTTATCATATGCATGCCTATCATATCAGAATTTAATAGTTAATTGAATGTTACCTGTTCTACGTAAAATCTCCCGCACATACACACGAATCATGGTCCTAGTCATAGGGAATGACCGCCCATGTAAAGTACAAATTCTACCAGGGCCCCTTCCTCTTCTACAGTCAACAGCCTCGGGAGCTTCTTCCGGCTGCAGATGTCCAATGGTCTCTCCTGCAACCTGTCATACAGAGTGCTTTTAGGTATCCCAAACTCCCGGGCTGCAGTCCTGATCGGCTGTTTCTTCTGTCGAACAGCAGATAAAGCCTTCTTCAATTGTCCTGGTGAGTAGTTTGCCTGCATTTTCTGAAAGATATGAACATTTGGTTTGAATTTCTTATATATTCCACAAAGCAAAGGCATACTTTCAACTTCTGTGTCTTTTCATTATCTTAATATGCGTAATAACAACCCTTTTGTATTTAAAGCTTGAAAATTGAAGCATGACCCAGTGATTAACAGATCGAAAGGTTAACAGTCCCTTGCGTTCGATAGAAGTCGGTCTTCATTGAGCATGGATCTAAATATATTATATCTGTGCATTGACCAAGATTTAAAATATTAAAGGGAACAGATTGGTATGTGTGTTTGAAAGCTTAAGAAGAGTCTTAATCTGTTAAAAAAAAATCGATGAATAAAAAAATCAACATAAATAACTCAAATTATCTATTTTTTTCTATTTTTTCTTTACACGCAGCAAAAAGACTCTATAACTAAATGGTGTTATAAATACTCCCAAGAAATCCACTTATTTGTAAGGGAGACAAATCTGCAATTTTCCGACTCGATACGTTCGTACGAGTTGCCTCCCTTAGATTTAAAAATCGAGCGTAGTTTTTCCATGAAAATTGTAAATTTTCATTTATTTTTCATATTTTTGCGATATTTTGGTGTAAATATGTCAAAACTTTTATGACATAACATTTTAAAAAGTTTTTCTTTCGGCGAAAATAAAGTTTGATATTATCGTCTGCCGACATAAATTTATCGGTGATACTGCAGACGGGCCTCACATAGGAAGGGGCTGGAATTCTGCGCATGCGCATTGGACATTTTTCAACTTCCCCCACGATGATAAACACGGAAGTGAAATTTGGAAAATTAAAATGATTATTTTGTAACAAATACTTACAAACAAACACTGCTACTTTCTGATGTTGGTCAAAAACAAGCGTTTGATTGATCGACAACAACTGATCAAAGAAAACAACGAAATCAAGCGTTTAATGAACCGTCCGGGTTTGATGGTCATCCGGATTTGGTGGTCGCCAACCAGTACCCTGTAATAATTTACATGAAACACACATTTAAACTAAGTACTGTCTCTACCCTGTAATAATTTACATGAAACACATTTAAACTAAGTACTGCCACAACCCTGTAATAATTTACATGAAACACATTTAAACTAAGTACTGCAACTACCCTGTAATAATTTATAAGAAACACACATTTAAACTAAGTACTGTCTCTACCCTGTAATAATTTACATGACACACATTTAAACTAAGTAATGCCACAACCCTGTAATAATTTACATGAAACACATTTAAACTAAGTACTGCAACTACCCTGTAATAATTTATAAGAAACACACATTTAAACTAAGTACTGTCTTTTCCCCTGTAATAATTAACATGAAACACATTTAAACTAAGTAATGCAGATCAGCCCTTTCAATCGGTAATTTTTATTTGAACAAGAAACTAGAGTATATTTAATCAATAAGTATTTAAATATGCTTGTATCCATAACATAATTTCTAAAAACCAAACGCTGCTTTTAGGTCTTCGAAATACAATCACAAAATTGTTTTCAGCAGCAAAATGAAAGGGATAAAAAAAACTCAACATAGGAATAATTTTTACCTTAGTTAAAAGCTATGATCAAGGAAGTTGAGTTAGTAACATGTGTTATGTTTAACATTTAGATTCAAATAAGAAAAGTACAATGCACTACATACCAGCATGTTATTTATCTGTCTTTTAAACCTTGTGCTGTTAGTTGTATTCTCAAAATCTTCCCAACTTTTCCTCTCAACAACAAATGGCAGTACCTATAGGTTAAAATAACTATCTTTATTATTATCACAGATATTTGTCCCACTTACATGGAAAATGCATGCAAACTTTTTTCATTTCAACTTTAAACATACCTAGTGCATTTGATATATAGATGATATTGAATGAGTGTAACTTTAATACTTAATTTATTGAACGAGTTCAATAAATTCAGTAATGAATTTACATGAATTTAATATTCTTTTTATCACATACCAAAAATAAAGACTGTTTGACGTGAAACCATTTTTCATTGACACGCCTATAGAATAGCCCTGACTTTTATCGCGTCTTAACACTATGTTTGCATAGAGCAAATGACTTTGTGACAAAATATATGCACGGCTGTGCAAAACCACTTTTACGGAGTCAAATTATCGCCACAGGTATGTGATAAAAATTCATAGCACTTTGTAGATGCACCGTGATTGAGTCCTTCACCTTAAGCAATACTCATTACGGGTGAAAAAGTGAAGGTTATTTCAACTTCTTTTGCTCTTATAATTTTAGACATAAGGTGTAACAATTAGTGTTAAAGCAATAATAATTCATTTACCATCTCATTCCCATAATCTTTTCCTGTATAAACTACAGTAGTGTCTATCATAGGTGGAGTGAGGACCCAGATATAGTCACCGGCAGGAAGGAGTCGCACCTGGGCATCTATATTCTTCTCTTTAGCATATCTTAACAATCTCTGTTTATCTCTCTCATTCTCATCTATGATCAAACATAACTTTCTGTTGTTGATCACTCCAGTTCTGAAACTTCCGCTGAAAGAACAATGAGAGGGATGGTGTTAATTAATCATTTTAAAGACAGAAACATCCAAACTTTTGCTTGATTTTTACATTTTATTAAAAGAGAAGGTATTAGTCAATCATTTTAAATACAAAAACATCCAGGTGAGTCGGAGCACCGCAAACCAAAATTTTTTTAATGATGGTCTTGGAATGTCAATTTAGCTGCAAGGAAGCCTTCAAAGCTTAGTATTTTGAAAGTTACATATTAAGACTGGTTAAAACATTAAATCTAGAAACTATTTAAATTTACCTGTCAGTATTTTGAATCTTCGGCAGCCTACAGGATTCCATGAAGGTATAAAACTGGTTGTAAAATGTGTACAACTTCTGTCCTAATACCTGACCACTGGCTGACAGGGCATAACTGTGGCAAATTATGTTAAAATATAAGGTCAAACAATAATGATAAATTATATTAAAAGTAAGACCAAATATTAATAATAAATTACATTAAAAAGTAAGATTAAACGTTAATGATAAATTATATTAAAAAGTAATGTGGCGGGATTAGTCTTCATTAATGATATAATGTTAAGTTCTGAATTACTTTCCCAATGTAAAACTTTTTTTAGAAAAAATCTCTTTGAAACTGCCAGTTAGATGATAAATGGTAGATGATAAAATAGCTTCTACTATATATACTGACAAAAATGAAGATTTCAGATACAAAATACAATATATTGTTTTGTGAAAAGTTGAAAACAAATGTTGCACCGGGTCCCCTGAGTTAAACTGATGAATATTATTATTGCAGACAAACTGTTTTTCTATTGAAATTTTAAATATGCCATAAATATATACATTAAAATTCAAATCTACAATTCAATCATTTAAGAAGCTACTTACGTAGGGACCCTAGCAGCTTCTTTCTTCACCAGACCTTTATTCATGAGAACATTCTCCATACAATCAAATCCTCCCACATATTTTCCTATAATTATATATAGAATACATCATTGTAACTGTGGTACATTCATGCTATACCCCACGATTATACTATCAGTCTGTTCTTATACTATCAGTCTATTCTATCTACAATTTATTTTTTTATTATATCACTGTCAATATTCATCACATGCTCAAATACAATCCAACAGAAATAAATCTGTATCACACTTGAGCCTGATCAAAAATGATATAGCTGGTGATATTTCAATTATGATATGGTTGAATTTGTAGTTTCAAATCAATAAAGTATGTAATAAAGGGTTATTATAGGACTCTGATGGATTTTACTTGAATGGATAACAATTGGCGCTACAGCACCTTGTGATATCCTTATCCTAATAAAATCCACTCAAGTCAAATGCACATTCCAGCTAAAGATACACTTATAATATCCCTTTTATAACTTCACTTCCTACAATAAAGTCGATTTTTGTTCGCTCGAACTCGGAGGACCTGTGCAAATTTGTTTGAGAGATCGGTAGTTCGAGCTAACCAAGGTTGAACTACTATTATGATGATCATATGCCTAAAGGTTTCTAGCTTACATCAGTCAAATGATAAATACGTCAATATAATTGTTTGTTAGTACATCTGTTCATCGAATATGTCATATTCAGAATTATTATCCCAGTGTTTTCAATTAAGTATTAACGGTACGCTGTGTTAATCTATATTCTTGCATATTGTAATTGGTTGAGATCGATTTGGCAATCAGACCAAACTTGTTGAACAATGTTCAAAATATCTTTATATGTTTATTATGGGATGAACCTAATTTTAAAAAATAAATTAATGAATAAATTTTTTGAAAATTTTTTACAGCAGCATCTATCTGTAGTGATTTACTAAAATAAACACACGCACAAGTATCATTCTATAAATAGATAATACTGTTACAATTCATGTCACATGAACCACGGTTGTAATCAAAGCCGTCTTGGTAAACGTTATTCTTTATTAAGGTAGACCATGGGTAATGGGCACAATAAGGAACTGTAAAATTGACAACATAGGACAGTTACATGTCTTCAAGGTCACCTGTATGCAAAATTGAAATAAAATTTACCATGTGGTTTATGAGTTATGGATATATTTCTGAACTAAGACCTTGCCATTAGAAGGGCTTATTTTCAGAAATGAGGAAACTGTAAATAATCTGTAATATCATCATTATAAAAAATGTTTTACTATTGCTTATTGTTAAGAAACAAATAATAACATTCAAGTAACACATTACACAAGCAAAATGTTTGTTTCTAAACAAAATGTTCTTAATATGTATAAAAATGTTACCCTACCCCACCCACTTTTAACACTAATTTTTACATTTCCCTATCTAAAATGCCTTATTCAAAATATCCCTAAAATTTATCGAAATGAGGGTCTGTTTTCAAAGTTTGCCTAACTTTTCTCAAAGGTATATTAGTTGATCGTGCGAAATATAAAATACTTTTACCGTGTAGTTTTTATTTTATCGAACTTTGAAAATAAGAAAGAAAAAAAAAGTTGCCTCTTCTGGGGTTTGAACCCACGCCCCTCAATTTCAATGTAGTTTACAAGCGATTCTAGCCTATTTGAATACTCTTCAAAGTGGAGGTAATGCATTACCCATGGTCTACCTTAACTATTGCATAATTCATTTATTTCACGAGTAACTTTCTTTTTATCATTACCATGAACGGCAAATCAACAATATTATCATAACAAACAAATTGATTACAACACCTCCTATTTTGTATCAATTAACCTTTATTAACTTTGTCTTGATCACGAGGTTTTGAAAACATGTGTTGCTGTCATTTATTTAGGACATGACAACTTCTTTTTTTATGTTCGACCTAAAAGGTGTGATTTTCACCATATTTCTGCCAGACCAGAGATCAGGTTCCAGAGTTTGAGCGATCGGTGTTCGAGCGATCCGAGGTAGAACAACATATATTATATAGGAATTTTGCCGGGACTGGGCTATGAGTTTGAGCAGGGGAGGTATTCGAGTGATCCGAGTTCGAGCGATCAAAGTTTAACTGTATATACAGGAAAGATTCTCCATGGTTAATTTCATACAATAATACATTTCTTTGCAAGACAAAAGGAATCATTCACCATGCAACATAACCATTACATACTTTCCCTAACATAATCAACATAGCACTCTCTCAAAAATACACTCTTAACTAAGTTCTACATTATGTTGTAAGATTTCTTGATGATTATTACAAAAATATGCACTGAGCTCTTTTTTTCTTTTTTAATAAAAAAAAATTAGAAATCTTATGCAACTGAGAATATTTTATTGAAAATCTTGGTCACCTACCAGCTTGTTTATCTTGTAAATCTGTGTCAGTAAGAGGCTGTGCTCTTTTCTTTATTGCTTCTTCTGTCAAACTCAGTATTGAATCTCTTGATAATGCACTGAAAAACAAAATAAAATAAAGATATCAAAGATGTTTCCCTCTGTAAAATGCTACTTCATACAAAAGAATAGAGCATCAGTGTGTGTCAAAATATTCACAAATAGGTCGCATTTTTCACAACCTCACTTCATGTAATTTCCTCTGCTTTAGACTGCTCCTTGTTAATTAAATGACCCGATAAAGTAGTTTATACAGAATTTATTTCAGTTCAATTTAGCTATAAGCTTTAGATAAACTCATATCTGTTCCTGAAACCAAAGACTACTATGCAATGTGTGTAAATTTTCAAGGCAACAACAGCTTGCCACTTACAGGGTTTTAACCCATACTGCCACCAATCCTTAGATTACAAGTATGACACATGGACTACTTGGCCACACCCCCAACTTGCCTGTTATTTATACTATACTATACATCTGTATTGAATTAAGACTTTTTCAAAGAAATTATACTGAATTCAAAGTATATTCATAATCTCAAAAAACATTAACTGGGACAAAATGATGGTAATTAATAGGAATCAGACAAAGAACCAAAATTTTACAGTAGTGGGACTGGCATTTAGCTTGTATGATAAATTCTGCATCCTTCCCCTTTATCAGTCAATCTGCATTTTAAAAAATATATATTTTACCTGAACATTGCCAGCACTATGGAAAATGGTGCAAGGAAAGCCTGAAATTAGAAAAAAAACTCAGGTGAATGAAATTCAGAAGTTTGGCAATAACCTTACATGTAAAGCTGCACTATCTTGAACAAAAAAAAATTTAAACTAAATAAAACTTTCACCATATCACTCATATTCCTCTAATTTCTGCCAATTGACAGTCATAGAAATGAAATATAACCTCTCAAGTGTTCACAATAAACATAATATTGTATGGATTTAGATAACATCAAATTAAATCAAACAATGTTTGTACCTTAAATAACAATATGAAACTTACCCTTGGTACGTATGGCTTGCTAGCACTTGAAGGGGCTTGGTCAATATCTGTATAAATTTATTGAATCAAAATTACCGTGAAAATATTTCTGTATGTTATTTTGATTATAAAGTATTTACATATACATTACAGCATACTACCCAAAATATAAAACAGTTTCTATACTGAAAACAAGAGGGTCATGATGGCCCTGAAATCGCTCACCTGTACATAGGCCCCTGGGGTAGGGCAAATTTTAACCCAAGGGCTTTTATTTGAACACTTTTGGTAGACACCCATTCGAAGATGTTTCATGATAAATATCTAAGCTATAGCGCTTTGGGGATTTTAAAGAAGATTTTTTAAGTTTTTACTGTACACATATAGGGAAAAACAATGATTCCCCCTTCCCGGGCAAGCCAATTTTGACCCCAGGGATTTTACTTTAACAAACTTGGTACACACTCACTAGAAGATATTTCATGCTTGGTATCTAAACTCTAGTTCTTTGGGTTTTTAAAAGAAGAATTGAATTCCAACCATTAGTCTTCTAGTTATGCTAGAAAAAAAAGCAATGGAAAAGTAACAAAGGGCAATAACTCTGTAATTACTTTATATAGAGTTATGGTTCTTGTGCACTGCATTTCCCCTTATTGTGCTTGACCATTGTATGAAGTTGTTTTGAATTCCAACTAGTAGTTTTCAAGTTATGCTCCAGACAAGGAAAAGTAACAAAGGGCAATAACTCTATAATTAGTCAAGATGGAGTTATGGTTCTTGTGCACTGTACTTCCTCTCAATGTGCTTGACCATTGTATGAAGTAATATTGAATTCCAACTATTAGTCTTCAAGTTATGGTCCGGATAAAAGAAAGCTATGGAAAAGTAACAAAGGGCAATAACTCTATAAATAGAGTTATGGTTCTTGTGCACTGCACTTCCCCTTCTTGTGCTTGACCATTGTATGAAGTTGTTTTGAATTCCAACTGAAGTTTTCAAGTAATGCTCCGGACAAGGAAAAGTAACAAAGGGCAATAACTCTGTAATTAGTGAAGATGTAGTTATGGTTTTTGTGCACTGCACTTCCTCTCAATGTCCTTGACCATTGTATGAAGTTGTATTGAATGCCAACCATTAGTCTTCAAGTTATGGCTTATGATCCGGACAAGGAAAATGCAATGGACGGCTGGACCGACCGACCACCGAGTGACTCCTATATACCCCCTATACAGTATACTTCGTTTCGGGGGTATAAGAAGGTTCTAAAATATTTAACAACTAAAAATAAGTACATTTGAAATGATTTCTGATAAAGTCCACAAGTAATACCTTGTAAGTTATGTCTCCTCCTTGAAGCCCCAGCATGGAGGACATTAGAACATGAATGACACATTGCGAGGCCCCCCTGACATTCTCCGCAGTAAACCTCCGCCAAGGCCTCCTCACAATCATCACAGTATTTCCCCTGTCACAGAAACATAAACTTATCTAGTTCATTTACAATTTTACTTTTTAAAAAATGCATAGATGGAGGAAATAAAAAGTTCTTTCATATAAAATTTTACTTGAAGATAATAATTAAGAGACAGTCTTCCTTTAATTATGTTACAATATTTTTTCTGCCTAAATTCAATAAAATTTAACATAAAGTGACAGTGTAAATGTTGAGAGTCAAAATAAGTTTACATTTTGCCACATTTGTATCCAATTTCATACTGGTATTCTATTTTTTAATAAATACCCATTAACCCACATGGCACGCTGAATTTTCTATAAATATTTTACAGAATGTATTGGTTATGCTCAATTGATAAATAGAGAGGGGCAGTCTTTTTGTTTTAGGCAGTTTTTACACTTAATCCAAAACATTTCTTATTAAAAATTACAGGTCAATAACAATTCAATTATCTTTTAAAATATATATCTAATTCAACTTTATCTGACAATAATAGCATAATGTCACATTAATATGCCAATCTGTAATAATGAATCAAATCATTATTAATTGACTGTGTGGACAATTGTCAATGTCTTTATGTTGTATGAAAATAAAGAAAAATGTACATGTAATACAACATATCAAACCTGCTTTTTTCTGCCTCCCCCTCTTTGTTTTGTTGTTACATTGTTTCCTCTGTGTTCAATATTTCTGTCTCTTATAACTTGTCTTACCAAAGGTCTTTGCTCTGAAGTTACAACTAGAAATGTGTCCATAGGACACGAATGCCCCCACACGCCACTGTTCTGTCAATCTTATGACTCTAGGTCAAATATTTTTTGCACTACATGTGCCACATTCAGTTAAAAACTAAAAATCAACAAAGGGCCATAATTCTTTTAAATTTGGTCGCAACAAAAATTCCTTCCTTTACTACCATCTACACATTAAGGTTGTTCATCCTTGGAAGTTTAAGCAAAATCTGCCATCCGGTTTAAAAGGAGTTGCGTTCACAAAATTTCTATATGGTATATAGTGAAAAAATCAACAAAGGGCCATAATTCTCTGAAATTTTGTCGCAGCAAAAATTCCTTCCTTTACTACCATCTAAACATTAAGGTTGTTCATCCCTGTAAGTTTAAACAAAATCTGCCATCCGGTTTAAGAGGAGTTGCGTTCACAAAATTTCTACATAGTATATAGTGAAAAAAAATCAACAAAGTGCCAAAATTCTTTTAAATTTGGTCGCAGCAAAAATTCCTTCCTTCACTACCATCTACACATTAAGGTTGTTCATCCCTGTAAGTTAAAGCAAAATCTGCCTTACGGTTTAAGAGGAGTTGCGTTCACAAGATTTCGGGACGTACGGACGGACAGACGGAAGTTCTCACAGGACAGTAATTATGTGGCTACTCTATTGTTCTCTCTATTGTTCTTTTTAGCCACTCAAAAGAAAATAGCCACATAAAAGCGTTATGGAATGAATGACATCAAAGAGAAAGAACAGTTACCTATTGTCCCTCTAGCCACATAATTACTCTCCTGTGAGTGCATACGGACGGACGGACAGACGGACAAGTGCAACGCTATATGCTCCCACTTTGTGGGGGCATAAAAATTCATGAATTTAGAAATTATTTTTTAAACATATCAGCAAAAGATATCATAGTATAAATCATCAAAATGTTACCTTAAACAGTTTGTTCCAGGCAAATTTAAAAACATGGAGCTCTTCTTATTATACATTACACCGAGCATTGATTTTTTTTCATAACTCCATCATAAACCTAAAATTTTCTTGTCTAGACATTCTTTTTTTATCGTTTTCGAAAATTTATCGCTTTTTCTGTCATCTTCTGTTTCAATTTTCCCTTTATAAAGTTACGACTGACACATATTTATCTCAGTATCTAACATTTTCTTTTCAGTATGCAATGGAAAATATCCATTTTTAGCCAACTATTCACAAAAATATTACTTAAAAAGAATCTTCTTTACAATAAATTAACTTCTTATCTGCTTTTACCCAATGTGTTCAGCCTTTGTCACCAGTAAAGAACCAGGCCAGCTTGCATATTTATATAGTCTGCCAGTCTCTATACTGTTGGTAGCTCTACTTTTGTAGTTTCACACCAAAATCCCTTTTACTCTTAATAGCCTGGAATGGCAAAACCATTTATCAAATTTAGTAGGTTACAGATTAAATCCCTACCTATTTCATCAGGTAAAGCAAGCCCTAATCTGACAGCATGATGGTCAATAAATGCAGCAATCGGATCATCATATCTTCCTACAAACTCTTGTCTATACTCCCTTTCAAATGCCCTCATATCTTTCTGGGTGTACTCAGGGTGCATTGTAGCTGCTTTTTTCTTAAGTCCCTCCAAATACACAGCAAAGTCATCCAGTGTAGGGAAATGTGGAGGCTGCTTACCATATTCACTATATCAAATAATAATATAAAGTAATCAGATCATCTTGGTATGGAACTAAACTTCAACATAACAAGTTGTCCCAATAATAATTAAATAAATCAAATTTAAAAATCAGCCACTTCTATCTTGAATAGTACAGTTTAGTAAACTCATCCAGTGTTAAGAAATGTGGCGGCTGCTTTTCATACTCACTGTATCAAATACAACTTTACAAAAATAGCAAAATTTTATAGCTGAGCTGTCATAAATTCAGTTTTACTCATCTCTTGATAAAATGCTACCTCAAATATTAATTTGACTAAGCATGTTTTTGTAAGGTATTCTCTTGCAATCTGAAAATTATTTCTAGATCTTTATTAAAATTTTATAACATTTTTTGCCCAAACACAGTCCATATTGTTCTTATATAAGATAATGTCATATCTATAAAGTCTGAGTGTAATAACATTTTATTGACAAAAGAAAGAAAATGCCTCCCTCTTTAGCCATACAAAGATAAAATACATGCATCATGTCTGACAGCCATATCTAAAAGTGGCAAATAGAATATGTTTCTTAAACAGTAGTTTACTAACAGTCAATGTGTCTTTTTCTAACTTTAGATACGACTTGTTGTTCAAGACATTGTATTTACATAAATGTTCCTTATACAAAACTTTTACTAGCTAAATAAAAAAAACCAGATCATAACAGTTTATGACTTTAATCATAGATGTATCTTAGATAATAATACTTAAAAAAATTATGTACTTTTTAGAATTCAAGAGTACACCAATCAGCACATATTTCTTGGGTAGAGATTTCTGAGTCCATTTTTGTATGTTAGCATCATTTGGGTTCCCCTCCATCTCCTGCTTGATCTCCGAGGCTTTAATATACAGGCACGAGACCCATAGAGGGTTTGATGTCGTCTCCAGGATACATCCATCTTCTAGATTGTAATGGGCTACTGACCTATAACATTGTGTAGGTAAACATGTAAACATTGAGATTTCTGTTGCTTTTGTTAAAAAAAAATAAGAACTATTATGATATTTTTCCGAGTTAAAACATTTGAAAGAATGATTTATAGATTTGTTTTTCATGCAAAAATAGTAACATGTATATAATATTATCTAAAAAATAAAAGGTAAGGTTTGTTAATTTTTCTTTAACATAAGTTAAGTTTAAGTTTAAGTTATTCTTATTTGTTATATTCACATGATGATTGTTTGACTCACCTATCATCAGCTAGTGACTGATTATTAAGAAATAATTCATCAATTCTTGCTGCACCTCCAGACTGTCTTTTCACATTCTGGGAGAAACAAGAATGTTAGATATACAAAATACATGTATTCAACTATAATCATTTATTTTAAACGGACAACAACTTGAACAAGAGCCAAGCAGAAAATCTATTAACATCCAAAAGGGGGAAAATCATTGAAAATCAATGCAAAAGTTATACATCTAGTCAGTGATCCATAAGACATGTGTATAAATTATAATATTATCTTCACTGGGTGTGGAGAGCCTGCAAAGAACAGAAATTTTCTAATCAGTAAGCACTTAAAGGGAGATAATAACGGATCAATGCTTGAGTTACGGGTCTTTTATTGTAACCTAGCATGATACTTCCCAAGGCATTAAAATGAAAATATCAAGTTAATGAGTTAAAAAGAGAGTAGCAATCAAAATGAAAGCAGAGAGCCAGAGTAGAGGCTAAGGTAAACCAGAATGTATAGGACAATGCAGACAAGTCTGTTTGTAGTTGAAACATCTGCATCCAAAATAGCATTAGAATAACAAAGCCTGCAAGATGTGGTTTCTGCAAAAGTTGTTATTAGGCAATATTGAAATGATGTGGTGATCAATAAGAAATGATTTTTTTCAATTTACATTTTTAGTTTAGCTGTTTTAGATGATCTGATGATAATGCTAGTCCAACTAATTGTACTGCGCGGCGAGATATTGTGCTATTTTCGTGTCTGGGCAATATCTCGCCTCTACAAAAAGCGATATTCTGCCCCAGAACGAAAATATCTCAGAATCAAGCTTTGGCACGTCAATATATTTTGACTAATGATAATGCAACACGCCCACCATTTCGGCATTTGATACATATAAACTATATGTAAAAAAATGTATTGTTTCATCAACATTAAAGCAGTTAGACGTTATGATTATTATATAAACAATCCAGTTCCCTTACATATTATTCGTTTTTGAGTATTGATACTAAAAGTTCGAAAATTAAAGGGACGAAAAAAATGTAAACAACTTAAAATTCGAAACCTCTTTCACTTCTCCAATGGTCGTTCCTGCAAAATCATTTACATCTACATAGAGGAAGTTGCGTTCAGTAGTTTCAGGGTTATATCTGCTTTTGTTTCGAACAAAAACACGAATACTGCACGCAGGCCTCATTATTGTGCATTTTTCATAATACGCTCTACATCACATACTTAGTTACTTCCCCTTGATACCGCGTAATTTTAGGTGATCGTGCAACTGACTTTAAAGCGGCTGGCGGCTTGCACGTAAATTTCGCGCATGTATTTTTTTGCGCGAAATGGTACTTTTGCGAATGGTGCTATATAGGATATTGCATGAGTGTATTATGATATTGCATGAGTGTATTATTAAATTAATTTAAACAGTTGAAAAAAAAAATCGAATACAGAGGATTACCTGACGAAAAAGATACAATGTAGTTCTAAAATAAAAAAAAAATTAAAAAAAAAAATTAAAATTAAAATAAAATAAAATTGAATCATTTACTTTTATTTATTTTAAAAATTTAAATTTTAAAAAATTCTAATTCTATTTCTGATTTTAGGGTTGTGTACATAAATAGAATTCTTGTATGATGAAATTTTATGTGATGTTTGATTGTAGTGTTATATTTGCTTTTAATCATTTAATGCTTTCTTACCCATATTTATATGGGCTGATAAATCTTAACTGTTTTATAGAGTCTTTCATAAATGTACATTGATCTTCTTAATACTTTTATATATTTTCTTTTATACAGATTGTTTGTTTGAATTGTTAAAGGATAGTCAGTTATGTCGGAAAATAGCTTATATAGCTAATGTTTATATGTTTTTATGAAACCGACTATAAATAAAGATTATCTTATCTTATCTTTATCTAAGCAAGACAAATAAGTATTTAAATATAGTTATGTTGATTGTGAGACAAAATTGTTTAAGAAAGGAGTGTCTCATAACTTAAAAGCGTTTAAGAGCTTCAAGACATGGACAGGCATTCAGCTCAATGGTCAAGTCAATAATGATAACATATATAGCTATCTACCTTTCATTTAGTCAAACCCCTGTCGGGGAACTAGACTTTGTTAATCAGGAACAAAAGTATTTGTTGACAAGATAAATAAGCCAAAATCATTAATCATGGGCATGGATCTTGGATTTAAGGTCGATTGCGAAACAAGTTCTTGCAATTTATATTAATCACTTTCGATTCCACTTTTTGGAACCAACCAGTACTAATGTCATATGAAGAAACATGGTCGTGACTCGAGTAGGGATCGAACCCATGATCTCTGGGTTGAGAGGCCTTAACCACTTCGCCACTGCTCCCCTTATGGATCTGAAACGGAGGAAGAAATAATATACATCACATAAAGATATAGTACTGCTGTTGTACACAGAAATTTACAGACATTAATTTAAGAATAAGATGTGTGAGGTTTGCAAATACGGGTGTACACGTTCTGTCTGTTCCCGTGCATTATTTTTTTTTTTTTTGAAAGAAAACTTAGAAAGAAGACAAATGACAATTCTACCTTAATTTGAGGCGTTCCTAAATGCAACCCTTTTTTTAAAAAGTTTTCCTGGTTTGTTGTTATTATTATTATTATTATTATTATTATACCACACTTGCAAAATTATATATGTATATAATTATGCAAATAAAACAATCTTCAAACACCAAAGAATATGTAAAATGTGTACTGCAACTATTTGTGCACATTATATTAAATCAATAAATTATATGCATTCATTTCTTATTGGAAAATTTGAAAATTTATAGAAAATAAATTTCTAACTACCTCCCTTTGTTTACATGAAATGTTAAATTCTGTAATATCTTTATAAATAATGCTTATTGGAACTTGCAATATTGACAAATCTTAATTTGAACATTAAATTTATGATATAAAACCATGAAAAAAATGTGTTACAGGATCTTTAACAAATCTATAAGTCATGGATTTAATTATTGAAATAAGTGCATGATTGTGTGTTACAGTTTTGACACGATATTTTTTATCACTATTCTCTGTTTTACATACTGTGTTTCTTAGACTCAAGTAAACGAAACATGTTTTTACTTGTAATTTGTATTTAAGTACATAAACTTGTACTTTACTTAGCGTAGATATTCTGAATAATGTTGTATTATTTTTTCAGGTTTTATATGTTAGAAGTTATATTCCTTTTAGGCAGCGTCTCTGGGCTCATCAGTTTGAGAGACATTGAATTAGGGAAGCTAAATCGAAATATATCACATACACGTGCAAGCACGAGTCAAAAAAATTTATGAAGTAAACGGTACAAGATCTTTGTCTATGAAAATAGGTAAATGTAAGACTTGAGAAGATAATGGGTTATATTAGAAAAAGGAATCCAGGAAAAATCAGTCACATAAAATTGTTGAAGTTTTGGTTTGATTGACCCTGTTAATGAACGGTAATTTTTCATAAATGCTACTGTATACGCTCCCTAGCACCGGTTAGAAAATTCAAGTTAATAGTATGAACGCGGCATGTTATGCCACGAAACGTTATATTTAAAGAAATATACCATGCTTATCATTGGGTAAAATATTTCAATCACAGAAATGCATTGAAATCTATAAAATTCTTACTGAATGCGCCTTATTTGAATAAAAAATGAACAAACTGTATGGGAAGCTGCTGTCCCTATTACAGATCAAGTAAGGTTGATCCTTTCTTAAAAAGATCTGCCAGTTTTTTAATAACATATACTCATATTGTGACCACTTACAGTGTGTAGAGTTTCAAACATAACATATCTATTTAGTGTGAAGTTAAAACATGTTTATTTTATATTTATAAAGAGACTGTGAAGCAATTATCAATATTTTCTAATATCAAATTTGAGCATAGTATATCTTTAAGTTTAAGATGTAAATGATATAACTTGCTGATCACAAACAGTTGTTATAGTCATGTAATTTGTTGATTCGACAATGTTATTAAAGATAATTAAATAAGAGAAAAAGAATTAGAGACATTAAAACACTTTAATTACAAAAAAAACAAACAAAAGAAAGTTTGAACAATTTTCCCAAAAAGACTAAGGAAAATAACATCGGTCCCAAATCTGGGTCGAATGAATTTGAAATACAAAAATTTTTGGATTTTTACAAAGGAAAACTTTGAAAAGCCTTTACAAAAAGCAAATTTTAAAAATTTAAAAATAAGGCCCAAAATCCCCTGGCAGAAAAACGTGCGGAAGTATTTTTAAATCCTCAACTGCAATTCAATTTTCCTGGTAACGTTTTTAGAGTAGTCGAATTTTATTGGATGCAGAAGCACATCAATGCTGCAATGGACTTGCGTTTTATTAAACAGGAACGCTTACTATTGTCACGAGCCACTTGATAAATGAAGTATCTTTCACATGTAAGAAATAAACTTTACTTAAGAGTATGAGTCATTGTATTTAAGGAACAGAGATAAAAATAGTATATATTGTAACATATCATCCGACCTCTGCATTGTTCAGTTATAATCACTTATTCATGTAACGGAACAGCAAATTCAAAACTGTCCTAAATAAGAAATATATAACTTCTAGCTGAACAAAGCGAACGCTACTCTATGACATCATTATCAAGAAATCGATTAAAATAAAAAGAAATGTGGTACATCCTTTATAAATTGTGGAATTGTTGGTGCCAGGCTAAAGTTACTATTTAACCCATTCATAGACGTCTTTTCGCGCCTTTTCAACACCCCCCTTTTTGAGGCCTTAAATAGTGAAAAAAAATGCCCTATTTAGACCCCCAAAACTTGTTTTCGTTTAAAAAAGTGATTACTTTTTCGGCGCCATCCCCTATCAAAAAGATAGATAAAGGGGTTGCCAGAGGAGGGGATATATCCCCTTCTGCTTGGGGTTTGAAGGAGTAGGCAGACTTCCTCAACTCCAAGAAAATTTTGGACTTGTGAGAGGCTAAAATGACCCCAGGTCGACCTTAAGGTAAAGTGTAACCAACGCTGAAAAGCCTTTGACTCTATCTCAATCCATTGAGAAGTTGCAAAAAACTTTTGGGAAACAGTTTTTGAAATTTGGAAAGTCAACTCAAAAAAAGAAAATTTTTTACAAACTCAGAAAATCCCAATCGTTGCCATGGTAAAAAAGGGAAATTACAAAAAGGGCCATTTTGGTTTCCCGGTTAAAATTTGTGCCAATTTGAACAGTAATTGAAGCCCCTTTTTTATAGTTTCAAAAGCCCAAATTTTGAACTTTTATTAGGAGGGGGGTTTTCCAAAAAAAAACCAAAACCCCTTTTTTTCGAAAAATTCAAGGAAAATAATAGGGAAAAATTTGTAACACCAGATTAAAGTCTTTTTTCATTTCGGGGTTTTTTTAAGTAAGAAAATTGCCTGACAAAAAATTTTATTTAAAATATTCCCTTTACATTAATTGGAATAAAATGCCTGGGCCCCCCCACCCAGACTTTATCATGCGCTGACAACATGTGGTCAGATGATGGCAGCCGAGATCATCGAGAGAATATTTATAAGTTTCTTTTTATTATGTAACAACCATCCTGTTTATATAAATTTAAGACTGATTAGTGAAGTATTTCACGCACACGAAGACAAATCAACCAATCCGAACGATCAAGGAACTGTCTCAGCGTATATATTGTCTTATTTTTTACGTTCTAGTCATCACTAGAGTGTCGTCTGTTCGCACAAAAATCGGTGGGGCCGTCTCTCGGGACACGAATAAGAACAAAAGACAAAAATTCCCCGAGGGTAGGGGAAAAATTTTATATAACTTATTATATTTGTTTGAAAACAAAAAATTTAGCTTAAAATCTCTCTTAGAGGATCAAATTATAAGGGGAGATGTTTTAAGTACAAAAATTCCTTATGTTTGTCATGATTAAATGTCGAGTTCTGCTTTGTTAAGTTGCATTTATCATTGCCGTTCATGAACAGACTCAATCAAACCCTGCTTGTGACATTTTTTATTTTTGATGTTTTTGGGCATTCTTTGAAGTTTCAATTTTATCTATTTTATTTAATGTAAAACATATTTCCAGGTTTTCAAAATGAAGATTTTATTGATGCTGTCTGCATGTGTATTGATGGTGAATGCTTGTGGAAAAGGAGGTGACCATTCTGTTGACGATGGAGGATATCATTACACGAATGATGATGAAAGACATTCCCTTTACCCTAGAATTCGTGGTGACAAATATGGTGCCACATATACCTACGAGAGGGGTGATTTGGAAGTTTACGGAGGAGGAAGCATGAATTTAGATAGAGACTGGGAGGCGGAAGTTGGTATAGAATACAGGTTTCGCAGAAGTGCCCAGTCGGTACTTGAAACTATTTACATTGATTATTTTTCTTTACCGAAAAATGTACACTTTGTTAGTTGAAAGAGCAAATTTTCTAGTTTTCAAAAATAACTTTATTAAGAGACAATTAAGTATCTAGTTTTAAATTCATTACTTAAGTTCCACTTAAAATTATGTTAAGATGTGTAAAATATCTAAGCTTCCTTGTGACACATTTGTGTAAAAGTATACTTTAAAACTTTTAAATATTTATGGAACAAAATTATTTTATTCACATTTAGCTTCGTTGTCTTAGCATTGTTAAGATGACCTCATTTTGGGTATCATTATATCAACTGGCAGAAATGAGATGTATATTTTATACAAGGAAAGTTACACGAAAGTGTATTTCTTTTAAAATAACATTTATCCGCTATGTTTCTAACGCACTGTATTGATAAGATTAATAATGATTAACAAGGTTGCTTTCATTCATTTTTGTCAAGAATCAAGAACTATATAAGTTAATATATAGACTTTTAAGACGTGTTCTGTATTGGAAGGGTCGATAATGTTGTAATGTGTATTGTTACAATGTTTAAGTTACGATGCATGGACTATATAACAGAAGTTTTATACAGATTGTTATGTCGAATACATGAGTGTACATTGCTTACCTGAAATGAAAGGTTTCACTTTCTTGTTAAAATATATGTGAATTGTTAGAGGATGTTATATTAAGATACTCCAAGGATTAAAGTTAAAGGGATGTTCTAGCGTCTAAACTTGAGCAAGCTATTATGATGTTTTTTCATTGTTTTTAAATTTTATTTTTATGACATGTTTAAATGAAAGTTGATGTCTTTCTTTTAGCCCAGGTTTAATGTTACCCTTCATGTGGACCCTTGTAGTTTCTTGGCGTATGACCTCAACAGAAACGGAGAGTTCAGCAAAGACGAACTGAGTGCAATCTTTGGAAAGGACGAAAAAGCCAACGCTCTGTTTGCAGGCCTTGATATGGATCCAAGTATGTACTTATCTTTTTTTATAAATGATAGATATATAACTATTATAATGAGTGATCTTGTATCATTTATCATTTATTATGCAACAAAACAGCAAACTCGTCGTCGTTTTTGTGAAAATATAAATTACTTATATGATACTTTAGGATAAACACTGTAAATGTTTCAGTATTGCGACATGTACATGTAATTAATGTCAGATACTCTTTAGTATCATTTTATAGCATAATTTTGTTCCCGGGACTTTTTATCATTTATATCTATAGACATGTACGTATATATTCATGTGACTAAGATACTGTTATATAGGAATAATCTGCCACATATATCATGAAAATTTAAGTATAGCAAAGCATAATCTTAGAGAACGCCCAAAGCGGCAAAACTTGAAAAAATGCAGACCCTGTTCATGGACGATCGTGGGTGCAGAATACCGTCTACACCCCGCCATCGGCTTTAGCAGATGTCAAATTTAAGATTTAGTGGTCAAATTTTAAATCAATTCGAGTATCGTACGCACATGCGCGTATAGGGCGGTTATCATTTTTGTTTATTATTCTTTTTTCCAGTTCTGGTGCGGCTATGACATTTCTAGATTGATTAAACAAGAACTTCTAATACTTTTTATATATTTGTGTATATATACATACCATATAATCAAACACTGTTTACCTGAAAAAGGGATTGCTTTAATGACTATGGCAACATGTTACTACTGAAGTCGATTTATAAAATATTTCTCTCAACAAATATATGTTCAAGTTTATGCTTTCTATTGAAGGTGATGGTGTTATAACAGAAGAAGAATTTCTGGCGATTGGACCACTTATCATAGCAGACTGTTTTAATAATGAAAAGTAATGCATTGTAATGCAAATGGGTCCGTGAAATGCAATGTATAACATGAAGATTACACCAATAAACTCGTATAAGACACATACGTCTATTTTTATTCCGCATTTGTCCTTGAAGTAAACTAATACCGATAATACGGTTACAAAACTCGAAGTTCCTCACATGTTCAATCCGTTTTGAATGAACCTGCTATGCGTGCGTGTGTATGTACATGTGTGTGCGTGTGTGTGCGTGTGCGTGTGTGTGTTGTTCTAGCAAGCCATATTAACCTCCCATGAAGCTTTTCATGTTGACCTCCCTTGATAAAGATTAAGCTTTGCGGGGATTTTAAAAATGGTTTTATGGCCCTTTTTTTAAAATAAACGGACACAATTAAAAACCTGATAATTGTGACTAGTTTTAAGGGGAAAGGGGAAAACAAAAAGATGCCCTCTCCATGCAAAAAAACCTTTAAAATTAAAAGAGGTGGTCTCCCAATTTAAAACGACCCTTCGTCGGGGAAAAATTGCTAAAAGTAGGGGTGAAATGATATGAAAAAAAACCCGAACATTTTCGGACAAGAGATTTATAGTCAACGGTAAATTTACCAATTTAAGGGCCCCGGAGGTCCCCCTTCCAAATTTTTAAAACCTACCCAGAAAAAGAATTAAAACGCTTAAAAAATCAATTTTGAGCCCCCTATTTGAAAAAACGATCTAAAAAAGTAAATTTAGGGTTTTAAATTTAACATTCTTAGATATTTTAAAAATTTCCCGGTGAAAAAATATTAACCCAAATTTTTAAACCAAAACAGAAACAAACTCTTCTATGTGCAACCCTCCCTTTCTTCAAATTTTCATACGACTATTTTCATCAAGTGTCGTTCACATTATCTTGGGTGTTTGACATTACCCGGCTTTCCTGAATAACTAGACAGGTTTTACCAGTTTCACCCCTAGTGACCGAATACTTATCCCCTGATCCCACATGATTTCTAAATCAACGGTGAGCGACAAATGATTAATTTGACGGAAAAAAATGTCGCCCTGTCAGAGGATGGAACCAGATCCGATTCTCTACCTAATGAGCTTAGCAAGCAGACAAATGATAAAGTGCAAATTACCTTATATCGAGCCTTGGGGGTACACCACTGTTGATTGTATGGCAGAACAAGAGTTTTACACATTGAAGTCTAATATTAAAGTAAGAATAAAAATGGACAAAGAATTCATGGGAACATTATTTCTTGTGCTCTTCATGTTCTACTAAAACAGAAATATGTGTCATATAATTATGGTGTGTCCGTGTGTCCGCTAGTATAGGTAGTCCGTCGTGAATAATCTGGTATTTTACCGACGTTAAGCCAAAACTCGAACTGTAAATGTATGAGCTGAAATGCTCATATATCAAAATTAGAATTTTGCAAGACGATAAACAACAGGATAGGAAAGTCTTAGAATTTCAATAGCATATCTCAGTTCAAGTCGACCCATTATGCTACATTCTAAATTGCTTCTTTAACACATACTTTTCAGTGAAAAAATATGAAACATCTTTTTGTCCGATTCCTTAAAATACCCAGGTCTGATATTTGACACGTGTTTATGTGCTGTGATCACCACCGCCAGCAGATGTATGCATGTTTTACTGGTGTAAATATATAAGATAGAGTTTGCATAATCACCTAGTGGTCTTCTACCAATAAGTGACCCCGAGGGTCACATATTAGCGCTGAATGTTGTAGTACACTCTAAACAGAAACCCAGTCTGAATAACAAAAATCTGGGTTTGATTGTCATAATACGTTCCACTTACGGTCATATGTATTCCTGTGATGCCTCTAAAGTATATCATAGTACCGCTATGAGGATTCCCAGCTATACATAGACTTATATTGAAAAGTCTAAAATATCCTCTCGATAGAGACACTTAGGCAAAAGATGCTTCATGTTGATGTTTAAAATTTGTTAAAAATTATGTCCTGACGGTAAAAATTGGCACGCGTCATGATCACAGACCAGTTTTTTTATAAATACTACTCAAAATTTGCTAAAGATCACCTTTTTGACATTGCTTATTTCAGTCCTATTATCATCATATTAAAATAATATTTCCGCTAACGATACATTTGTACGGGGACCTCATAACTGTGTACTTAATTAACCGATTTGTCGTGTACACCTTGCACGATAAGCACGTGGAAAAACATACCAATGGAAATTTGGTGTTTTATGGCCATGTGCTTTCACTTAAACGTGTACAAGCAGCTACACTTTCCTCGTTTTATTGTGAAACTGTGTTCGAAATGAACAAACTATGGCAAATCGACAGGTTAGACGTCGTTTTAGTGAAGATGAGATGAACAGGGCTATTGGAATGTTGGAGGCTGGCCGTTCACAAAGGCACGTTGCCCATGTCCTTGGGGTATCCAGGAGGTGGAACCGATTGCAAATGACTGGAACTGTCTTGCAGGACCACGCCGGAGGTCGGGAAAGTTCAACGACTCAAGCCCAGGACCGATTTATTGACCTTCAAGCCAGACGCCAACGGTTCTCGAACGCTACGTTATTACGAAACGACTTCCAGAATGCAACTGATGTACGTGTTAGTACACAAACTGTTAGAAACAGGTTGCATGATGCTGGGTTGAGGTCACGGAGGCCAGCACTAAGCATTCCTTTTTAAAGAGCGTTTGCAATGGGCGCAGACTCATGTCACATGGGCAGCTACTGGTTAGACCCCGGTCCTCTTCACTGATGAGTCAAGGTTTTGTGTGGACTTCACGGACAGACGGGCTAGGGTTTGGAGAAGTCCAAATGAACGCTTAGATCCAGCATGCCTTGCAAAACACGACTGTTTCGACGGGGTTCAGTCACGGTGTGGGTGGAAATAAGCGCTCAGGGGAAAACGGACCTACACATCATTGAAAACGGTACACTGTCGCAGAAGAGTACGTCAATGAAGTTGTGAGTACGTCAATGAAATCTTAGACGTCCATGTACGCACGTACGCTGACGCAGTCGGCCCTGATTTCATTCTTATGGGTGACAATGCCCATGCACACAGAGCCCACATCACAAACCGATATTTTGAGGAGGCAACTATAGTCCGCATGGATTGGCCAGCGAAGTCCCCGGATTTAAATCCAATTGAGCATGCTTTGGATATGCTGCAGAAAGCCATTTCTTCACGGTGCGTCCAACCAACAACAGTTCAGGAGCTAAGGCATGCAATCATAGTGAAATGGGCCCAGATTCCTCATCACAAGGTCCGCAGGCCCATCAGCAGCATGCGGCGGCCAGGCCGTAATTATTGCCCGCGCATACCATACTCGGTATAAGACACCCTACGCCAACCATTTCCTGATTTCAAAGATTCTTTTATTCCACTATGTGATCTCCAAAATGTTGATGTTCGTCCAGCACACTCTTTCCGCAACAGGCACACTTCAAGGAACACTTCTATTGTCATTATTTTCATAAAAATCAATTCCTAACTAATCACATTTAATTCATTTTAATCAATATTCACATTTCTTACAAATACACAAAAGTAACACATTGTAGAAAATTTTAAATTTTTTTAAATTTAGCAAATTTTGAGTAGTATATATATAATGTACTAAGGCCCGTATTCAGAATCGATATTTACACTCACACTCATTGAGTAAATCTAATATAATAGCCTAAAGGTCAAGACAGTCCTCAACCTTTCAGCAATATAAAGTCAGTTTCGAGTAAACTAAGGTAAGTTGAGAATTTGTGAGATTAGGAAGGGGCTACCTTGAGGTGTTCTCAATAAAATTATACTGAATACCACTTGGGTTTGAGGATTGATTTTGAATTATTTTGGTCCCATATTATACATTAAAATGGGTCACTTACTGGAACTGACAGAATTTGAGGAAATAAATGTTAAAAACAGATACTTAGGGATAGAGATAATCTCTTTAAAATTTTGTTAAAAGTTGAATTTTATCAAAAATTTTAATATACGAAGGAGTGTGCCCATTTTATATATGCACTTTGCACATTATGAGTTGTGAATGCAAGCTCAGTATGTGTATATTTTGAAAATCTGGAAACAAAGTGATCCCTCGGAAACATTAATCACAACAAAATTACATAAGAATTGCAGACTCGGTTTGATTGAGTCTGTACATGAGGGATAATGAATAAGTGCAACATCCCTCACGCCCCCTAGTACCGGCTTGAGCGGTACTCAATTCTCAACACTTAATAGTGCTGGCATCATTGATCCAGAAGGACCAGAAAAATATAACAACACTGAACCCTTTAAATCGTTTTCTTTAGAACTACAATGTATTAGCCTTTGATATGCAGTATGATGCATAGATCCCTGATGTCAGGAGAAATGACTGCCTTGATGTTATTTAATCTAAGAAAGATTCAGTAATAAAAACTAGAACCAATATCTAAGAATTGGGGGCCGGGCAGCACCGCCTGACAAAAAATTGAAATATTCTCTGTTGGAAAAAAAACTAGCATGTAATTGTTAAGTTGACAATTTTATTTCTTTAGATAATTTACCTTTTTCTTTCTCAAAGCCATATATACATTTAAACAACAAACTCTCATTATTATTTACACCCAAAACAAAGAAATCTGATCATTATTTACACCCAAAACAAACACACATCATTTATCAACCACTTATACGAAATATCTTTCACGTATACGTCTTTTATACGAAACAATACTAGACACCTGGCGAGCCCAAACTCTAAACAACTTATGATCAAACAAAACAATTAAATCACCACAAAATGAAGAACACAAATATGAATATTTTTACAACTCTGAGATACAGTATAAGCCACAAACATTCAACCAACAATATCTTCACAAAATCTAACCAATATCAGAAAAGCAAACTAAAGCTTCCAATATTTACATACATTCTCAAATCAAAGCATCAACTTATATAATCTTGACCAGACAAACATTCAACCAATATCAACTAATTATATCTTCACAAACAGATATAACTCAACAACCAAAACAACTAATTACAACCAATAAAATAGATAAATACAGAATCCCTAAAGAAAGCCCAACATGGCAAAATTGAAAATGTTGCAGGC